CGGCTGCTGGAGGGCGAGGACGCCCAGTGCGTGGGGTTTGCATGGGCAGCACAGTGGGAGGCGATGGGATGTGCGAAGGGGCAGTGAAGCTCTGTGCTCCCTGTGCCCATGCCATGATGCTGAGCATGCACCGGGGGTCCCTTTTTGCTGCTGCTACTGCACAGTTGGGGTCCTGCAGTGCTGTGCGCCTCAAAACAGGCAGCAGGCATTGCTGGGAATGGACTGCCATCTTGCCCCAGTCCCCGGCACACACCACCCCAACACTGTCTTCTCTGAACATAACATAGTTCCTGAATATATAACGTTTCCTGAAGGCCTAATAAGCATATTCTGGTACAAAAAGAGAAGGCAGGGCTTTAAATAATGGTTTTGTCTCAGTGTCTGCTCTCTTTTTTCCATTTTTGACCTTATTTCATTTCCCCCTGCAGCATGACCTCCCACTACGCCTCGCAGCCCGTGAAAGAAGGTGAGGACCCCTCAGGTCTGAAGCACAGAATGCACCCACAGCACCTTCCTGCCACAGTCTCATGCTCTCTAACTTAATGCAATTACTATTTCATGACATTTTCAAAGTGTGAATTGGCAGGAATTGTTCTCCTAATGTACCAAAAACATGTTCTAGACAGTTATCAGTGTAGAGCAACTGTAATAACAGTTGTTAAGGTGTGGGTAAGAGCAAACCCGTGGCACAGCACTGCCATACAGAACAGTTCCTTCTCCCCTCACAGGGCCCGTGACCACACGCCAGATCCGTACCATCTTCGAGGAGGTGCAGGACGGGAAGGTGATCTCCTCCCGTGAGCAGGTCACACAGGCTGCGCTCTGAGCGCTCCACAGCTTCGCTTCATGCTGCACCGCTGCAGCCCATTCCCTTTCTCTAAGCATTGTGCTGAGTGTGGGCGTCAAATAAAGCTTTTGGCATTTGTGCACACCCGTGTCTCGTCTCACTGCTTGGCCGGGCCTCTCATTTATTCACCTGCTGGACACGGGGCTCTGGTGAGCACCCTGTGCAGTGCAGCCCGGGCAGTGGGGGGCTGTCAGGGGAGGGGCTGGGCAGCAGGGGGTGATGCTCCTCTGGAGATACGGAGTCCCAAGGGGCACAGCCCCTGCAGGCGGGTGAGGGCCCTCCTGCGAGGCACTGCCCACAGCCCTGTCTGTTCCTGGAAAGCAGCTCAGACACATTCTTGGCTGCATTCTGCCACATGACCTCATAATTCACAGAATCACAGAGATGACTCAGGAATGTGCTATTCAGTGTATGTAAGAACAGAGCCGGCTGCACAGTTTTAAGACCCCTTTCAACAAGCATCTATGGGGAGATGAGACAGCTCTGATTTACCAAAGCACTGAGGGATGCCGCTGTGCAGCCTGCGGGGCTGCCTTGCACTGGCTGGGTTCGGTGCAGCTGCAGCAGGGGGTGGCACAGACACAGCCCCACTCACCGCCCCACAAGGATCCCAACTGCCCCCTGGCAGAGCACTGCCGGAGGAGCTGCACGTCGATCCATCCCTGCGCTCCACTTTTCTCCCAGAAAAGCGAGGCACGTCCCTGCAGCTACAGGAACAGCAAACAATGGCTTGCTAACAAAATCCCGTTTTAATTACACCCGCGACTGCAAATTGTGAGGTAGGTGTGGAAAGCAGATGTCAGCTGTCCCACCTCAAGCAGCAATAAGCAGTGCTGACCCCGCAGAGCTGTGCAGCAGGAGGCAGCTCCAGGCACGCCTGGCTGTGCGCTTGGGCTCCAAAAGGCGCTCTGACTTCTCCAGCGATGAATTCCTCTGATACAAAAGACCACTTCGGAAACAGAAATGAAGGTGTAGCTTTGCAACCTTTTATGGAAGCTCTGTAGAGTAATTTGATCTCTTGTGAGCCCACTGAAGTCGTGTGGTTCCAGGACAGATGAGGGAGATGTGCTCTGGTCCTGCAGTTCTGGCTCCCAGGTCTGCTGTAGTTGGAGCTGCTTCTTTCACCTCTGCTTTCCTCCTGCAGTTGGACAGAAGTGCACACCTGAACAGCAGTGTGCTGCAGTGAAACTGCTGTGACACCACGGAATGGGCATTTTGGGGTCAGAAATATGTAAGAAATGGGCTACAGTGTGCATGGGAATCTGACTTGTTAATAGTTGGCCTCTCCTTCAAAGGAGAGCGAGATGCAAACAGCACACAGTCATTGCGGCTGTGTGTGATGGAGATCATGTTAAAAATGTTTTAGAATTGTTAATTTGTTGTCTTACATCTTAATTAGCAGCTCATCATTTTAATTGCTGCCGTGTGGCAGTATCAAAGCATCACAGATATTTGAGCTGTGTGTGCTCTGATGGCACTCGCAGCGGTTAAACGAGAGATGAAAGAAAGGCAATTCCATGCAAAGAAAGCTGTGCTGGGACAGGCACACAGCGGGCACGGCGGAGCTGCTCTCCTGGAGGGCTCTGCTGGTCAACACGAGGCTCTGCAGGAACTTCTGCTGGTGTCACTGAGTACTGATGGCAATGGGGAGGGATGTGCTCCTTGGGGCCGCGTCGCTGCCCCTCACTGCCCCCATACTGTGTCCAGTCCCAAGGAATGGGAGTCCAAGGGAACACCTCACCCACCCCCCCACCCCCCCCCCCATGCTGCTTTCCTCACACAGGAGAAGGAATTGCATCACCCAGAGCCACTCAGCAATGTACCTTTGCTGCTTATTTCCAAACTCTCCCCCCATCATTGGCAGATGATCTAAGGAACACTTGGCTGTTGGAAGGGGCTGTCGGGGCCTGTCGGGGAGCAGTCAGACAGCTCACCGTGCACACACATGAGAAATTCCTGCTCCTCCACACCCTGCACCACCGCCAGTGCCGCTCCGCTCTGTGACGCACGCGGCAGCAGCGCAGCCGGGCAGCAGCGCCCTGAGCCCCCCGCCCTGGGGCAGCACACTGCGTGCCCACCGAGCCCTGCTGGCACTGGGCTGCCAGCTGCAGTCCCACATGGCTCCGTCCTCCCTGGTCACAGCAGCTTGGAGCGTTCACACAAAGAGCAGCTTCACCACAAGCCGCTGCCAGCTGTGAGCTCCTTACAGCGCACAGGGACCTGTAGCTCTCCTCCCTATGACCTTCCACTGCTGGATGCTGTTCTGCAGTTTCTCCTGGAGAATCTCATGTTTTTTGAGTTACTCCAGCTCACAGCCATCCCCTGCCCTTCTGGAGCACTTGCTAGGCTCCTGCTTAGAGCACTTGCTAGGTTCCTCCTCAATGCCTTTCCATATTCCGTCCCTCCTGGGTGGTCTCTGAAGTGAAGAATTAAACAAGCCCCGAAGGATGAACTCCTTTTAATGCCAGAGAAAAGCCCACCCGCAGATAAGAGAGGAGAGCTGCACCTCTGCTGGCTGCCCAGCTCTCCAGCCCCAGACACAGCACTGCACCGTGCGCCTGCAGGGCTGCTGCCCCATGGCACCACTGTGTGCTTGGACAGAGGGGCTGAGCTGCTGGGGCAGATGCAGCAGAAGAGCTGCTGAATTCCTCCACTTAAACACCGCCTGAATAGATCCATTTCACAGGTAGCGCTACAAAGGAATATTAAAATGTAGCCCTGAGCAAGGAGCCTCCTCCTTTGAATCACACCTGACTATTTACTTGGAAACGGAAGAAGCATAAAAACGCCCTTCGTGAGATAAGAGCTTTCGAGTGAAATATGACAAAAAGCGTGAACAGAACAAAGGAAAAATGACGAATCTGGAAGTTGGCTCAGATTTTGGGAGTGATGAAAATCTTCGGGAATGCATCAGAAAAAAAAAAAAGAAGCAGCGGCAACGCCTCCCGCGTGGGCTATAAAGGGCTGCGGGCAGGGGAAGCGCGCACTGCTGCCTGCGCTGCCAGCCCGCCGTGCCCGGCCTCTGCCCCACCATGAGCACCACTGTCCGGCAGTTCTCCTCCTCCACCTCCCTCAAGAGCCTGGGGGGCGGCTCCAGCAGGCTGTCCTGCGGCCGGGCGGCGGGCTACCGGGCCCCCAGCGTCCACGGCGGCTCCAGCAGCTACTCCATCTCCTCCCGCATCGTCTCGGGGCTCGGCGCCGGCTATGGGGGCGGCTACTGCGGCAGCGTTGGAGGGGGCCTCGGCGGGGGCTTCGGGGCCGGCTATGGGGCCAGCTATGGGGCCGGCTTCGGGAGCGGCTTCGGGGCCGGCTTTGGAGGCGGCTTCGGGGGCGGCGATGGCATCCTCCCGGCCGGCGAGAAGGAGACGATGCAGAACCTCAACGACCGCCTGGCCGTCTACCTGGACAAGGTGCGCGCCCTGGAGGAGGCCAACACCGACCTGGAGGTGAAGATCAGGGAGTGGTACAAGAAGCAGGGGCCCGGCCCCGAGCGCGACTACAGCCCCTACTACCGGACCATCGAGGAGCTGCGCAGCAAGGTGGGTGCGGTGAAAATCAAAGTCCACATTAACGTCACTTTTTAATAGATTAAATGGCAAGTTATTGGTCTGAAATAGGAAAACAGAGTGCCATGCCTGGAAATAAGTGCTGAGCGCTCTGCAGTCGGGGGCACACGGTGGCCTTGGCACTGCTTGTTGCTGAAGATGACACGCAGTGATGTTAAAGCCAGATCCTGCAGTTTCTAGCTTGGTGCAAGGCTGCGGATAGAAGTTAACAAAGAAAGGAGTGGCTGAGGGGATGTTTGTTCTTCGGGAGGTGCAAACACGAGAGCAAGGAAAAACCATGGGGAACCCAGCCATGGGGAGTCGGTGGTTCAGAGGTTCTTTGGGCAGATCCTTCCTTCCCCGCTGCAGCTGGGAAGCAAAGACATCCAGATTTGCACCTGGATTCCTTCTGGATATCCCCTGGAGCATCACAACTCACTGCGAGCATTTTATTAGCTTGTGGCTACAGAAATTACTGCTCATTAAATGGCCAATCCTTCTCAAAATCCCAGAACAAATATTTGGGTGTAATTATGACAGCCATTTGGGCGCCGTTGCTCCTCCTCAGCTCCTTTTCCTCCCAGTTGGGCTCTTTGCAGTGCCTGCGGTGCCATGGGCACGCTGCAACCCGCATGGGCAAGCGCTGCCAGGCAGCGGTGCAGCTCAGCATCACACTCTCTGCAGAGTCCTTGTGCAAGGCCAAGCTGGGGGGCAGGAGTTGGGTGCTGCTCTGGTCCTCTCGCACAAGATCTTCGCCAGCAGCATGCAACATTTTGTGTAATGACTTTTTCACTCCCTTTTCTGCTTTTTTTTTGGCCTAGATTCTTGCTGCAACTGTTGAGAATGCCAACATTGTCCTGCAGATTGACAATGCCAGGCTGGCAGCCGATGACTTCAGGACCAAGTAAGTGCAAAGCTCTCAGGGAAAGGAAGGGACAGGGCAGCATGCTCCACGCTGTGCTGTATGCACCTGGAGCTGCCCCACAGCTCCTGCTGCCTGCTGGTGGCCACAGGGTCCGGACAGTCCTGCACTGCAGAGTGCTGTGCATGCATCCCTGATGTGAGGTGCGGGCAGACATACACAAACTGGGGCAGGGAAGAGAAAAAGACTGCTATCAGCTGGACCCAAACTGAGACTGTGTGCATGTCGCCAGGTTTGAGACGGAGCAGGCCCTGCGCATGAGCGTGGAGGCCGACATCAACGGGCTGCGCAGGGTGCTGGATGAGCTGACCCTGTCCAGGGCCGACCTGGAGATGCAGATCGAGAACCTGAAGGAGGAGCTGGCCTACCTGAAGAAGAACCACGAGGAGGTGAGCGCAGCACCGGCACCCAGTGGGGCTGTAAGGTGCAGCCGGGCAGAGGGGGTCAGGCACGGGGCGCGGGGCCGTCCGCAAGCAGGGCTGTCACTGCTGTGTGTGTCACGCCTTTCCTTTTGCCCAGGAAATGAACGCGCTGCGCGGACAGGTGGGAGGAGAGATCAGCGTGGAGATGGACGCGGCTCCCGGCATCGACCTCACCAAGATCCTGGCCGAGATGCGGGAGCAGTACGAGAGCCTGGCAGAGAAGAACCGCAGGGACGCCGAGCAGTGGTTCTTCAGCAAGGTGAGCTCGACGCCCGCGGCTGCACGGCCACGGCTGCGCCCACGCCGGGCTGTGACGTGCGGCTCGGCTTCTTGCAGACGGAGGAGCTGAACCGCGAGGTGGCCATCAACACGGAGCAGCTGCAGAGCGGCAAGACGGAGATCACGGAGCTGCGCCGCACCATCCAGAGCCTGGAGATCGACCTGCAGTCCCAGCTCAGCACGGTATGCGGGGCCGCTGCCTGCCGGCGTGGGGATGGGGCCCTTCCCCGCCGCCCCCCTGAGCCCGTCCTCTCCTCCGCACGCAGAAAGCAGCACTGGAGGGCACCCTGGCCGACACCGAGGCGCGCTACGGCACCCAGCTGGCCCAGCTGCAGGCGCTGATCACCAGCGTGGAGGAGCAGCTGGCCGAGCTGCGCTGTGACATGGAGCGCCAGAACCACGAGTACCGGGTGCTGCTGGACGTCAAGAGCCGCCTGGAGCAGGAGATCGCCACGTACCGCCGGCTGCTGGAGGGCGAGGACGCCCAGTGCGTGGGGTTTGCATGGGC